ATGCCAGCTCCCAGCTTCTCACATGAGGTGTCGAAACAAAAAGAGATGAACAAACAACCCCCTGATGCCTGGGGGCAGCAAACTGGTTTTAAGATGCTGGTGGGTTGTTTGTTTCCTGTGTGGTGGTGGGAGCAGCCTCCCACATCCCCTCTGGCACTGGGCAGCTGCCCTTCACAGCACTTGGCCACCCCTGGGCCATGGGCGCAAGTTGATAGGGCTCCACAAGAATGCCTTTATGTAGAAATGCTTGTCACCACAGCTGGGTTTTGTGGGCATCCTGACATGGGGCGATGTGGCCAGTGACTAACAATGTGGTGGAGGGGACGTCAGGCATAGGCATCATCTTGGCTGTACCCAGCCACTACAGAGAGCCCTGTAGGGCCTGGTGCCAAGGTGCCTCAGCACTTGGCCCATATGTACCTGGTTACTGCAACTAACATGAGGTTTTTGAAATACATGGCTTTTGTTTCAGTGGTTTTCTACCCAAAACTCCCCTACAAGAGCTATGTACAATACGAGGTGTCTCTAAGTTTCCCATGAGCAGACCTTGTCACAGGTCTGACAGATCTTTGCAAAATTTGCCAAGGGGCCCACATTCTCCCCTCTTTAAGGGGGATTGTAAGAGAGTTTCTTCTCCACCTTTGCTACGGTCCACTTAAAGCACCGAGAGCAGTTGAGAGGTGCCTTGTGGGGCATTCACACTTCTTTCCAGCTTCTGCCTCATTGCAGTCGAATCAACTGGGTTCATTTATTGCACTGGAGCTGCCCAAAGCATATTGGTAGCAAGCAGTGGCTTCATTTCTCACCGACAAGCAAGGACCAGCTTTTACCCTGGTTCTTTCAGCTGACATTGGGTGCAAAAGCACTGCAAGGAGGAGCTGGTGATGCTGAGCTATGCCAGGAGGTCACCCATGCTCCTGGCACTGCCGGAAGGAGGCAAGTCAGTCCAATACAATGTGTTTCCCCTGAACCTGGGAGCAAAGCCATCCTAAGGCTGCTGAGAAAAGCTGTGTGTGATAAAAGGGGTGTTTTTCCCATGTGCTGGAGCCATTGGCTTGCATGGAAGGCATTGTGGGAGCTGCCTCTTGGCTCACCCCATCACAGCAGCAGGCTGATGGTGCTGCTACCAACTCTGCTGTTAATCTCATTACAAATAAAGGAGGGGTAGGAGCTAAACTAAACTCATATTAATTCCCCCTGCTCAACCTCAGGAAACACCTACTAGAACTGCCATTCTTATTATCCAAACCACCCCTGGAAATGATCATTAGCCGACTTGCTCCTTTGCCAAGCATGTCCACTCGCCAGCCTGCCTCCCTTTGCCCACAGGGCGCTCGCGTTCCTTGCTCCTGCCATGGCACGCACTGTGGTTGCCTGCACCCGCGCTCTCTTTCCATGACCTAGCATGCTGCCCGCTGATGCACATCCGGACCCAGGCTGAGCCCTGCTCCCCTGAAGCTCACCAGTGCTTTCACCCAGAAACAAGGTGAGGGTGTCTAAGCAGCTCTCCGAGTTGCTTGTTTTGATTTCTTAAGTTCCTGTATAGTGTTGGACTGATATTTGGCAGGGTTGGCTGGTGGCCAGGGGGTTGGGACATGTTGGCATTTATGATTTTTTTTTAATTCCTTTTTTCTTTTGCATAACAAAGTCTTGATAAATGAGAAGGAAACAAACTCAGTGCCAGCTTTCACCATGTGTTCAAAACAAGATAAATGTAATGCTGGGCTGGCCACAGCATCCACCAGTCCTGTGGAGACAGAAGTTTGCTGGTGCAGTGTGTGTGTTCTGGGAACAGAAAGTGACCCACACACACTACACTGTGCTCCAGGAGGATATGGGGGGGGGGGCTGTTGTTCTTAGTGACACCCATTCTACCTGTTCATGTGGGCCCCGCAGGCACAAAATGAAAACAGCGCTGTACCTGGGGTGAACAAAGGTGCAGGATCTGGCCTTATGCACAGCTGCACTCTGTTGGGTCTTGGGTGCCAGGGCTGTCATGGGCACCAAGGCATCATATACATCATATACATGGAGCCTGAGTGCCTGTTGTTGAAATGGAGTGGTGGGAGAAGTACATATACGTATATATATATATATGTGTGTGTGTGTATAAATATATGCCCATCCGCAACTGGGGAAGAGCACAGCATCATGGGACCTGGCCAGGGTCATACCCAAATGCACAGACAAGCAGCAACATTCTCCTCAGGAAAAAGTGGATCTTCTCGTGGGATGTGGGCATAGGAGTAGTTGTGGAAACAAAAGACATGCATGCCTTGTTCCTTTTTTAATATAGTTCTTCCCCAAAGCAGGACTAGCCCATTTTTATCTCACTGCTAGCTGTTTTGTTCTTTTTTCCCCCAGGCTGGGCAAGGGTGTGGACAGGAGGAAACAGCCTTATTTTTAATGACAGTTTTTCATGGGAAGATGTTGAGCTGCCTCTCAGTGCTCAGGTTGGCTCTGCCCAGGTTTAATCAGGAGGGATGAGCAGTACTCACTGCAGCCTGTCTCCTTTCACTCACAGCTTTTTCCTGGCTGAGTTGCTGCAGCTCTCATGCAGCCCCCCATTGTAATGCAAAGATGACAAATCTGTCCAGGCTCTGCTCCCACCCATGACCACAGTGTCTCCAAGGTGGGGAGACCCTTGCAGAGGGACTGGCTAACCTTAGCGCAGCAGTCAGCAGGGATGGTGCCACCCAAATTGTCCATCGCTGGGGCTGACACCAAGCAGCAGGGTAGGGAGACAGCAAAGGGATGCAGTTGCAGGATGGGATAGAGTGGCAGCAGAAGAGGGCCGTCAGCCAGGCTGGTGGCTTGTGGGGCTTGTCGCTGGCTTTCCAAGGGTGCTGCTCTCAAAGCTGCTGTATTTCAGCCTGTCAGTCTAGATCCTGGAGAATAAAGGGGTCAAAAGATTCAAGTACACCATATTTTATAAGCTTATCATGCGCCGGCTTGGAATCAATGGGGATTACTCATCATCCAGTGGAGTTGATGGAGACTGACTTGTCCACACGGCTCTAAGCCTCCACAGCAATTTTGGTGAGTTCAGTTGCTTACAGTTAAGCTTACAATTAACACCTCAAAAGGTATCGCAGGCTGTGAACATTCCCAGGTTTTATTAGACTCTGTAGCCACTGGACATATCATAAAGAGCCTTAGACATTTCAGACTTGACTATGGATTCAGGAATTTGTAAATACCCACAAGTCTCATTTTAAATTGAGGTTTCAGGGGTGAGCTTTTGGCTGGAGAGAAACTTTCAGCAGCCACTTGCATTAAGGCATGTTTGTGGCACAGATTTGGCTTCTCCAGCCCTCAGCAACCCCTATCAGCAGCCTTGTGCAAGGGGTGACCAAACTTGGCTTGGGCCCATGTGAATGTCAAAACAAAACCAAAGCTCCTCTCTAGTAAAGATCCCCTGGCATTGAGTAACGCTGTGCAGGGCTTTGCTTCCAGAGCAGCAGCCACACACAAGCACATGTGTGCACACACACAGAGCCACTTCAGTTGTTGCTTTAATTACTTTTTAATCCTATTCTGTTTCCTTTATGAGTTGTTTTCTTTTGTTGTTTTTTTTCTTTTCTTCATTGACTGTCATAGATCAACCCTGCTAATCCCACCTTGCATGTATGATTAGTGTTAGGAGGGGCACAGCAAAGTTAACAAGGAACTGAGACACAATTCAAGCATCTCCAGGTCATATTGCCAGTGACACAACTGGGGAATACGTAGCAAAATGGCCACCACCTAATTAGGTTGTGGCTCCCTTCAGTAGCCAAGCATCGACTAGAGGAGCTTGGAGCTGGCCCGGGCGCCATGCAACTTGCTCTGAAATGCACATCAGCTTTATTCTAGTGGTGTGACTTCAGACACTGCCTGTGTGGGGAGCTGCTTCATGGTGGGACTTTGGGAAACAGCAATTACCAGACTAGCAGGGCAAAAATGGGAATAACCAACATGAATCAATGTAGCAGGAAGCAAAAATGTTACTGCACCAGGTTGTCCCTGGGGTGTATTTGACCAAGGAGGAGTGTATATATTCAGTATTATTGTTAGCTTGCTTTCTTTTTTTCAGGGATGTGGGTACCCCGCGGGCAGTCAGGATATGACCCTGACAACTTTGGCACATATCAGGTCCCTACATCAAATATTAAAGTTAAAACACATTTCTCAGAGATCAGGCCACCTTGGTGGCAACCCATCCCATTCAGATACAAAAGAGACCTAAAAGCCTAGATTATGTTTTGGTCCATGTCCCAGAGAGCTCTGTAACTTGCTCTTGCAAGGCTACAGTGTGCCAATAAACTTGGCGTCCACCTCTGCTGTTGCAGCAGAAACACAAACCCACTTCTGAGCTAGACTTTGCCAGAGCAGAGAGCTGTAAGAACCAACAAAGAGGAAAACTGCCTTTGACTCTCTGCATTCCTGTTTCCTGGCTTCAGCCTGGCACGGACCACAATCAGGTCTCAGTGGCAGAGCAGTGCAGTGAGTGACATGGCCCAGGCAGCCCAGAATCTTTCGCCTTCTTGGGCACACAGTTGGCAACTGAGTCGTGAAACGTTGCATCCTTCTGAGGCTCCTTTCCTTCTTGACCACCAGTTTAAACACCTTGCCTGGTGCAAGACACCGTTCTCCACCAAAGCTGTTGTTTCACCAGAAGCCAGCTGGCACCCCATTTTGCTCCCCAGCCTCCGGCACATCCCAGCAGCACACAGGGGCTGTAACATCCTCCTCCTGCTCTCCAAATTACCCAAAGCTTGCCAATGGTACCTAAGTTAACAGGTAACTGGATACAGAGCAAAGGGGATGGACAGGCAGCCAAATGTACACACACAAATTTGATCCTGTCCAGGCTACCCCCCGTGCCTCTTCCAAAATGCAGGGTCTTGCTTTAGAGCCTGGGGCAGGAAACCCTAAAAGGAGAGACACCACCATGAGATAAAACACACACCCCCTGCTCTCCCCTTCTAATATTTGGCTAAAGAAAGTCAAAGACAGGCACAGACATCATGTTTAGTTTATTTCCTCTGGATTTAGACACAGCCCTGGCTAACCACCACAGCAGCAAACCAATTACAAAAGGCATTCCCTCCTGACAGAGGACCAGCTGGTGGGATCCCTGCAGCCTCCAGGAGGGCAGGGGGATGCACCCTGCTGCTTGGAAGGACAGCTCTGCAGGATGCACTCGGGCAGACATGGTTGTAAGGGGATGGCAGCACAAACTCATGCTGAACTTGCAGCATGTAGGAATCAAACCTTGGATGCCATAGCATGGTGCAGACAGAGGCACAATGTAATGTGTCTCCGTACTCCAACTGCCCTCCCATTCTTCCCCCCAGACTTCCTCTGGCTGTTTTGAAAAGGGGAGTTCCTTTCATGCATCCCAGGCTATTAGCAAGAGAAGGGAGAGAACACAAGCAACAGGCCCTATTCCACCAGAGTCCACTGCAAGTCAAACCCCTTCATGCCTGTGCACAGCTTATGCCTCTGCCCCGCAGATGCTTTCTGGAAGCTTTGCTCAGAATTAATACCAAACACCAGCATTGCATGGCTACAGAGAGATATGCATTTTGCTAAGACTTAGGTTTTCCTTTGTTTGTTTTTTTTTTCCCTAAAAAGCGTATTTCAAATGGTGAAGGGATCCAGGATGGAAAGGACAACCATAACTAACCTGTGCCCCAGCACTGCCCAGGTCTTCAGCCAGCACTTAGCAGGGGCAGGAAGACTGGTCAGTTAGCACACCTGAGACATTTCTCTAGCAGAAGCTGAAGAGAAGCAGCTATTTCTGATTGAGGAAGGAAAAAGAAACCCCCTCCCCCCCAAAAAGAGGTTCTCCAAAGGGATACAGTGGGGTTGAATAAATCCTGAGAAGTGCTAGAGAAGAACATGGGATGCTGGAGGCAACCAGCCCCAGCAGGAGATGCTGGCACAGACATGAGAGGTCTCAGCAAGAGCTGCGCTAAACACAGAAGAGGCATTCCTGAAACTCCACAATCATATTAATCTGTTAATTTATACAGCATCTCTGTACAAAAATAGAAGGGTTCTAATAAGATTAACAATATTAAATAAATATTTAATATAAAAAGTCTTTGGCCTAGTTCATAGCTCATCCTTTGGGTTGATGTTCATTTCACTGGGTCCTAGATGCTCCTGGTCCAACATCGCGATCACTTCATCTGCCTGAATTCGCTCCTGCAAGAGGGGAAGAAACCATAGCAGCAGCATTTCAGTGTCTGCTCTCAGCTTATTCAGCACTGCTCAGCCTGCTGGAAGGACCCACAGCAAGAAGTTCATCCAAGGACCAGCTGTGTAGTTGTGAGGGCAGGGAACAGCCTAGGCATTTGCTGGACAAAATTAATCAAATCGCTTTGCACCTCAATATCCAATCACCCTTCTTCCTCCAGGGGCCACAGTGGCTGGGGGAAGAATTTGGAGGTTGCCTGCTGCAAGGCACTACAGTCCAGATCTTCCAAGGCATCTGGATGCCCAGTCCAATGGACTACAGGCTGCCAAACTATCTTTGAGGACCTGGCAGCAGCCATCAGCCCTGCCTCTGAGCTGTGAAGGGCTGTGGAGGACTTCCCCGTTCATCAAGTTATTGCCACTAGGTGTCAGAAACGTCCAGCCCAGCCCTACACAGCCATCCTGAACTCCACTCGGCACCTCAGGCCAGCCCTGCACCCCACAGGATCAGGGTGATAGGTGCCCAAGAGCATGGCCAGCAGGGAAAACCATTTGGTTCCTGTACCACCAGCTCATGTCCCCATAGTGCAGCGAATGGGAATGCTACTGTGGGGGGTGCAATGTGCTGGAACTGGAGGTTGAAGGTGGCCCTGGTTCCTTTGGGATGCTGAATACCCCCCAGCTCCCCTTAAATCATGATGGAGGTACTCACCAACTCTCTGTAAAGTGGGTCCAAAGTGAACCAGAGAGCCACAGCACACCGCTGGCCTTTGGTAACTGCCTTCACCCCATGGGGGTTCTCACCGCCTGATGAGAAGCTGATCATTCGCCCACACTTGGGCTTGATGGAGGCCTGTGAGAAAACAAGGAATACCAGTGTAGCAAGGAGCAGCACAGCTGCACACACTGGCCACGTCTGGGCTTGCAGTGGTCCAGGGTCTGAGATCTTACTGGGCATCTCTGCATCACCCCAGGACCCAGTGAGTTGCTGCTGGGGTAAACAGGGAGGTGTGAGTCTTAGTCCTACTGCACAGACATCGTGCAGAAAGGAGATGGTAGCATGGAGTCCTTGTAAAGCCTACAGGTGACCACCTACAGCAAACAGGGCCATCGCGTAACTCCAGGAAGGTTCAGGCTAACCCTGCCAAGGGCTTTGAAACACCTCTTTTTTTAACTCTGCTGAATCCACAAGAGGTGACCTGCAGGACCTCAGGAGCAGAAGTGCAACCAAATCAACCCTCAGGCATATGGAGATGCAATCTACCCTCCGGCATCCACTGAACTCCAGAGCCACAGCATGGTGCCCAGACCCTCTATCTAACAATGAAGGGGGGTGTCTCCTACGCAAGAGACCAGAGTCAGTCACTGTGTATGTATGAGGGCATCACCTCACGTTTGGCCATGAGATGTGGCTGGGGCTCAGCAGTCCTCCAGGCAGGGATAACTATCAGCCATCCCTCTGCCTGTGCAGGGGTGGTGCAACCCCCTCATCTCAGGTTTCCTGCTCAAGCAGCCTCTGGGAAGGGAAGAGAAGATCTGGTATCTCTGCTAGCAGGATTTTGTATAGACTCTTTGCAAGGTAGGAGCCATAGGCTACCCAGGGAAGCCCAGAGCTCCTGAGCATGGGCTTCTGAGGAGCAGCATTTGTTCCACAGCACTGACTTACCGTCACAGTTTTGGCATCCATCTCAGTGAAAATGAACTCTCCTCCTTCAAAATCTGCATTCATGTACAGGAGGGCACTGGGGAAGGAAGCGGGGGAACCCTGTGAGGGGAGCAGTGGGGAGGGCTCAAGGCTGACCCCCACCTCTGGGGCAGATCCCATACTGCTCCATCAAGACATGGGTAGCAGTCCCACTGAGGAGCTGGTTGGGGCTACCTGGGCTACCCCCATTTTGGAGCCAGAGCTAAGAAACAGCAGATCTCACCTTGGCTAGGGAACAATTCCCACAATATCCCCTAGGTCCCACGAGCTCCCACCCTCCCATTTTATATATAAATAAAATATATATATAAATATACCTGGCAGAGACACAGTTCTGTGTGCCACAGGTGGGATCTCCCAACCCTAAAATATCACAGCTGTTAACAGTTAAACTCAGCTTGAACCTTACCCATGATGCTTGCTGCCACCAGAAACTACCTGTTGGATCTTACTTCTGCCATGGTTGGGATGTACCAGTTTTAGGTCCGTGAAGCAAGATGCCCTACCATGGGGAGGGTCCCTGGGAGCCCTTGAGAGCAGCTTCCCCTTCCTTCCTACCTGTAATCCCGGAAGGTGTAAGCAGGAGGCTCTTTCCAGCACTCGTTGGCCTCAGGGTCCAAGAGACAGTTGTCAGCATGGATGGGGTGGCTCAGGTCGTTCCTCCTCTCCTGCTGGCCTAGGCAGGACCATGTGGAGGAAGGAGGGAGGAGAAGGGGTGGATGAGATGGAAATGTCATGCTCTGTGGGATCTATCATGGGGTGGGAGCCTGCCCCTACCCCACTCTGGGTGGTGTTCACAGGTGAGAAGAGGAGAGAAAAGGCTGGAGAGAAAAGGCAACATCTGAGGACTCAGATATGCACAACTCTGCTTGTTCCTTACTGTGGGGAAGTGAGATGGAGAGCTGGGCATGGGATGGAAAGGAAAACAGATGATGAGAAGAGGCAAAAGAAGAGGGAAGACAAAAGAGGAAGAGTTGGAGACATGAAAAACAAGAGACATCCCAGAAATTACCTCCTTTGGGACAGCAGTGCCCACCCTTTGCTGCTACAGGGACAGTGAATTTACCCAGCCCTTGGCCACCAGTTTAAGCACCAGGCAAAACAAAGCTGCTCTCAGGGTTGGGCCCTCACTTGTAAACCCCTGTGGGGAGCTGACCCCCTCCTGTCCCCCCAGCTCTGCTGTCCTGCTGGCCTCCCAGACCCTCACCAGAGAGAGCAGTGCGGCACACCAGGTGGGTGTAGGAGAAGTAGAGCGTGGAGTTCAGCATGAAGTAGGACTCGACAATCCTGCGAGCCTTCTCGCTGATGTCGTAGAAGAGCCGGGCACTTTTCAATGGGACACGGCCCTCGTAGCCATACTGAGCAAGGAGAAAGGGTGAGAGAGGGTCAACATCATGCACCAGCTGGGAGGGAGGGCATGGGAGAGGAGTAGGAGGACGGAGCTGTACCTTGAGGGCTTTGAGAACAGTGGCTCCTTCAAATCTCTCATTTGGGGTGTGGGGAGAGGTTTTGCCCCTGTAACCATCTCCAGCCAACATGATCCCCTGAAAGACACGACCACAGGTGAGGCGTGAACTGGTTCCCCAGAAGAGGAGGAGCTGCAATGGAAGCAACTGGCACTCTCTTCCCCGAATACCCCAAAGCTGCATTCATCAGGACAGGTGAGTTAGGTGGGAAGGCACTGCAGTTATCCATAAACATGGTCTGTTCTGAGATACTGGAAAACAGACAACCATCTCCCTGCTGGGGATATTCAGGCACCCTCAGTCCCTTCCCAGGTTCAGCTAATGATGAATGAGAAGGCTCAACCAGGCTTTGTGGATGGACATCCTTTGGGGTTGTATATAACATGGGTCAGAGAGCTATTTCTGCACAGGGTCTGTCTTGCAGCATATTTCTAAGAATGGCCCAAAGAAGTGGCTTCCATGCACTTACATGGATGTGTTATGGGGACAAGCATCTGACTGCTCTCCACAGGCATCCTGGCACCAGTTCTAACACTAAAGAGTAAGGTATGAACTTGGATCTTTCCCAGTAGCTGATCACACATTCAGCCCTCACAAGTCAGATGCTGGGGAGAGCATCAGGCTCTCAGCCCACGTGACAGTCATGTCCCCCCCAGGGACAACACCTACTCACACTGGCCACCCTGTGAAGTTCTCGGCACTGCTCCTCTGAGATGACATTATCCAGTAGAACTCGCTGAGTACCATTCAGCTGCTGGGAGTTGTAGACAAACTTTACATGGCTGTAGAGAAGCGGACCCCCTGATGGAAACAGAGATATAAAACAACCCTGCTGAACATGCCCTGGCCTCATTGACATCTTGTACTGTGGCTGAGGGCCAGCTGAAGTCACCTGGATGTGCTGCCAGGGAAAGAAATTCACAGCAGAGAGCAGAGTTTGGCCTCACATCACCAACAAAAGAAACAGAAGCAATGGAAACACCTGCTGATGAAATCAATCTGCTGCAAGAGCATCAGCATTTTCCACCTTCTCGTTACCTTGCAAATGCAAGGACCACGGCCTAAAAATGCCAAAACCTGATGGGACACAATGAGAGACACGAACATCAGCTAACTTGGCTCGCCTGCCAGCAGCCAACATCAACAAAAGCCGTAAGTTTCCATTGCATTTGTGCTGTGTGGATCTTGCCAGCTTGGCATGCAAAACCACTCTCTGCAATTGTCATCAGTGGGTTTTTTGTCTTTTGCACACATAGGAAAGCTAGTGTGGTGCTGAGCTTGCAGCAAGTATCGCTTGCTCTCCACCAAAACAGGGGCTGGGAATGGGTGAACTGGAAGATCCTGAGGACAATCTTTCTCTGCAAAGGAGCTGCCATGGCATGAGGAAGAGAGAGATTAGCTTTTTATATGAAGTTTGGATCCATCCCGTTAAAATTTGCCTGATCACAAAAACATGGTGAGGACACTAAATCACCATCTTCTGAAGCCTCTGCCCCTGATCTCCTTAAAGAAAGAGAATGAAAGAGATGGCAACAATAAAAACCTAAACCAGATGTTTGTCCAGGAGGAAGGTGAAATGCATCTAAATTGTGGGGAAAATTTTCTCTTGTCACAGAACCACAATAAAATAGAGGAAACAGAATCACAGATCTCCTCTCACCATGTGGCACAAGGAAACTTCTGTTATGCTGCTTTTATAATTGCTACTTTCTCTGTCTGTTGGGGCACACTCTGTTTTTGGAAGGTCTCCTTGGCCTGTGGAGGGCATATAACCCTGAGGGCAGAGCCCTGCCACTAGCCCATGACTTTATTTTTGAAGAGTTAGGTCTCCTCATGTTCACTTTGCTGTTCTTGTTGCTCAATAATAGCATTTATTATAAATGCAGCTGGATCAGAAACAAGACTCTGAAATCTAGACTCCTAGCACACTCCAACCCAGGCTGAGTTTTCCAGCTCGGATGTTGCTCTTCCTCAGCCGTAGGCACACGAGGGATGAACCTGGAAGCCATCACTCACCACTTCCCCAGCTCCTTTGTTCCTCCCAGGGAACTAGCAGGGGTTGCCTTGTGCCATGAACACTGAACCCTTGTCCCACACTGGCAGTGTGCTCCTGGCTGCCTTCCACATCCCCACCGCCTCTAAGCACCAGCAGAGAGTCCTATTTCCTGTGTGTAGCTCTGTGGAAAACACCACAAAGAAACCGGGAAATTCTTTGCTCTTTTGGGAGTAAAGGAATTGGTAGAAAGGAGGAAGGGGAGGAAAGAGAGAAGTACAGAAGAGGAGGAGTACAACATTAAAATGGACTTCTCTTTTTCTCTTTTGGCCTTTTCTTTTTTCCAAGTGAAAAGAGAGAAAGAAAAAAAGACAACAGAGAAAGGAAGCAGCTGGATGAACAAAAATACCATTCTTGTTTTAAATGGTTTCAGTTTTCTTTGCAAACTTGAAAATATTCTGCAGCTAAACCAGAATAAAAGCATAGAAAGAAGAAACAACAGAGAAAGACACACTCTGAAATTATTTCATTATGGAAGGCAAACAGGCCAAAACCAAATGTAATTCAACCAGCTCCTGTGATATTTGCCTATTTTATGTGTGGCTAAAGAAGGGATAACGATACTTTGAACATGACACTCAGCAGCTGGAGATAACTTGGGCCATGGAAAGCTGTTAAATTCCCCAGAAAAAGCACAACCATCCATTGCATTATAGGGAGATTTAATTGCCTGCTTCTGTGGAGCTGACCCACTAGAGACACAGGACACCTCCTGGCTGGAGACCCATTGTTTTGCAGTGAGGAGCATTCTTTGGTATTTGGCTACAATATGATTTTTCAAAATTGTTATGGGAGAAATCTTGTTATGGTATTTTCTGTGGTTCCTGAAAATGTGCTGAAATTTGTTGAAACATCTGCTGACAAGCCTTAAAACTGAGTGATTTGATGTAAGCCAAGACATCACAAGCCAGTCTGCAAACAGAAATGGTTGCTAATATGCTTTGATCCAGCACATTCAGTAAAGCATCATGACCAGACTTCCCAAAACTTAATGCCTCCAGCATCAGTCCTTCTTCAGCCTGGATAAGAGGGAGCATTTTAATCTTAGAAATACCTAAAGGAAAAAATACTGTTTGCTGATGCCACCTTCCCCACAGTGAGGAGGACACAGCCTCCCAGCTCCACATCTCAGGGCTCTGTAACGAGTAGCTCAGCAGGTGGGAAAAGCAAGTCCAAAAGCAGAGCAATGATGGTGGGATCCACAGACCCAGAAATGCTGTGGCATCATTGAGGAATTCTTTGTGTCTTAAATAAAATTTCAACCCCCTCAGGCAGAATTGGCCCTCATTGCCCAGCAGCCAACCTTTGCAGTCTGCAGTCTCCACCAACAGGAAAATAACTTCTGATTTTGTTGAACATATTCATCAGACTTACCCTCCTTCAACTCTCGATCTGATTTTGGCATGGGTTTCTTTGCCAGGAATAGCCTAGGCCTTTCCTCTGGTTCACTGCTAATACTTGATGGGACACTGAGGAACAAGAGAAATGAAGAACATCATGACTTGGGCCGCAGGTCTCCAGTTTCTGGGAACTGCAGTTTGGCACCCTTTGGAAACCAATACGTTAAAAAACTGGACAAATCGGTACATTGTGCAAATGTCACAACCATACCTATAGAAGTTTTCACCCTGTCCATGAAAAACAGTGTTTTTCTGGGTAATGGGAACAACAGTTTCCACCAGTAAAGCACAACACTAACAAACATGAACAGCACCACTTGACTCATTGACCAAGTTCCCTCTAGAATGGTTTGGAGGCACTCAGCTAAAATAAGGTGCTTGTGGAAAGTTTGTAATTATCAGCCATGGTGGTGTGCTGGGCTGGATGGGCAGCACGCATTAAGTGGGAGGCTTGTACCCTACTGTGGGGCATCCCAACTGCAGGGGCTGGTGAAGCAACAGGCTTAGCTGGGGTAAGTGGTGGCTCACCTGTGCTCATCCTGGCGGGCGCCATACCTGTTCCAGTAGTTCTGCAGGAAAAAAGAGAGGTCATGCTTCTTAAATTAATGCTCCAGATGAAGCTAGGGAGCTACCTGCTCTGCCTCACTCCCAGTCTCCCTGACATCAGCCAGCCTCTCTGGTACAGATCTATCTAACACAACTTTGGGCAATTGCCTGGGGTCACCAAATTGAAAATGCAACCCCAACCCAACCTGGAATCATATGAACAAATGCAGAGGGAACCCAGCTTGCCCAGCCTTCTCTATCCCGCCCAACCACCGTGACAGTGACTGAGAGCCAGACTAGGCTGTGTCTGCATTTCCTTCATCCTGGGAATGGTTGCCTTCCTTGCTTTGCTATCAACATTTTCCCATAGGGAACAAACCAAGCCAAGATCCAGCTTGAATCACATACACGGGACTTGCTTTTTAAGAAAAGGGAGGGGGAAAGTGGTTCTATAGCTGTGAACTCCTGGAGGTCCTCGCCATAGCAGATCCAGGAATTACCGGCTCTGTGTAGGTGTATCCAAGGCCGGCTGCAGCCACTTGCAAAAGGTGAGACTCCAGCTTATGGCGCCTCAGCAGCATTTTTGCTTCCTGAAAAGAAAAGGAAAAGAGAAGCATTTGCCCACGTCCTTTCACAAGACACAGACAATACACCTATACTTCAAGAGGGGTTTGTTTTTCATGCAACACTGCAGACTCCTATGGGGTGAGGGATGATTGGGTCATGCTTTCAAGCAACCAAAGACACAGAGCTGAGCCACTCACTACATTACACAAGTGGAGGTGTTCAGCAGCTTATCTGGGAAGCTTGCACCCCCAAAATACATGGCAAAGCAGGGACTCTGGTTGGGCTGTGCCTTGGTTCTTCACATGCGATGCAGAGCTCATGAAGCAGCCAGCAGAGCTGGTGGTGGTTGGACTGCAGCATCACAGCCTGGGGTGGGCTCAGGGTACTCACACAGGGACCACAAAGCACAAACAGCTGAAAAGCGCCCATCAGAGGGCTTCTTTTTTGAATTAAATTGTTCTAAACAAAACACTCGGTTTTCTCCTAGAAAATTACTTTGGAAAGCAAAAAACAGATAATTTTTTTTTTTTTTGCAGAAAACTTCAGAACACTGAAAACAATGACATGTTTTTGTCAAGTTTAGGTTTTTCCTAGACTCACTTTGTGAGAAGAAACAGTAACTGTTCTAGTTTTCTTCTTCATCATTTTCCTTTTTTAGTGTTTTACCAAATTCACTTTGATTTTCCTGGAAATCAAGGAATTCGCAAGGGAATGGAAAATCCAATTCCTCCCTACCCTCTGCTTATGGCATAAGGGGAACGAGCCCCCTCACAACTGTGATGGGATGGGAGGAACTTCTCCTTTTCTTTATTGTGAGAGAGGCAGCCCCAGGGCCACAGATAAAGGTTGCCCTGACAGAAGAAGACTGTACCACTGGGTGACTGAACACATACTGTTTGGTTTTTTGACCCCAGCCTAACCCTGCAATAGCAAAGCTACTTCCCACAAAGCTGGCTGAGAGCTGAACTCCAACCTCAGTGACTCAAGAGTAACATTGACATCCCAGCCTTCCCTTGGGAAAATATTTCTCATCCCTCTCTTAACAAAGGTTACCCTCTGCTCAGTGCTTCATTGCATTCCTCCTCTGCATCTCCCCTGGAGCACTGAACCAGAGGAGGGTTTATGTTTCTGAGGCACTCGGTCATCGCCCTCCCTGCCCTTGCTTGGGCTTTGCTGAGCTGAAGTCCCCATTTAAAGAAGATCCTACCCTCCAGTTTCTCCCCTACACTAGTGGCTCTGAACTCACATCCTGACAATTAGCTTTGCCAGCTAGTTCAGCATCTCCACATCTTTTTCAACATGGTCCCACTTTGGGAAAGCTGCCAAGCTGCTTTTATTTCCAACTGAAGCTTTTGTTAAAGCTTCCCACCTAGGCTCCTAGGTGACACTCACTCTTACCTTTCTGGGTTTCACGGTGTCTGGATCCATTGTACCTTCCAAGAGACCCTCGTAATAACTTGCATTCTCCAAGACATCTTCATCATCTGGGTGGAAGAGGAGGTAGGACTTGGCACACTCCAGGGCTTTTATGTAGTCACCAACTGAGAGACAACACAATCATTATCGGGGGGCAGAGGAGGAAACAGCCCTGCCGGTAGTGCTGGGGGCTCACAAGGAGCATGGCAGGGCAGAGCTGAAGAGGGCAGCTGCAGAGAGGGAAGGCACAGCTTGAGCTCTCCATCAGCTGAAGGGTGAGCCCCATACTTTACAAGGCTCTTTTGATGCAAATTTGTCTTAACTGCTCCATTTCACCAGCAGGAAAACTGAGGTACAGACACACAACTTCTCTGTGGTCATGCAGAGGTCAGATGGGATCCAAATTGGGTACAAATGGACAGGCAGAATGTGGATGCTGTCCAGCAGCAAACTGCTTCTCTTCTGTGCAGCATCTTTCAGGGCTCTGGGGCAGTTTACCCACCACATTAAACCTCTAACTGGGCAGAGGAATAAAAAAGCCTGTACACCATGCACAAAATACTTCTGACTCCTCCAGCTTTCTTCCCATTGCATGGATGACTGAAGAAGCTTTATGTTTAAGTAGCAGTTCTGCCCCTCACTCATTCTGCCCTTTTCGGGAAAGAACTCCTAGCAGAAGCCTGAGATAGCAGAATTCTGCTGAATTTTTTTTTTTCTATGTAACAGGACATAATAGAACACCATACAGGACCACACAGCTGGCAGTATATTATAGCACTGCCAGCTCCCAATATTTTGCAAGGTAGCCAACTCCTGCAGCTTTACTGTGAACCTTAAAATATTTGGTAATCAGTAAAAATTGGCATCTTGGAATAAGCTTGTCCTAACTTGTGTATCTATCTATAAATATAATAACTTAGAAAATGCATCCGTTGGTTTCAGATAATGTGAAACATATAAATCCCCAGAACTTTAATGTCAAAGGCAAATGAAACAACCCTAAAAAGCATTCATTATTTAAAGAATAAGAATGTTTAAATTAAAGGTTGGACTTTTAAAACCTGTCTGATGACTTTAAACACTTTTACAGAAATGCTTAATTGCATTTCAGTCAACCTGACATTTGAAGAGCAAATTTCCAATGTCCTTTCCTTACTCTTTCACACCATGCCACTGCATCACAGTAGTGTGAACATCATGTAATAATACCCTGATTTCCCCATAAAACAATTCAAACTTGCATAAAAGGTAACAAAACTCTGAAAGCACTATGAGGAACAGAAAGACAGCCTTTACCTCTGTAATAGGCAAACTGCAAGTAGTCATAATGGAGGGGAAGGAAATTTTCAATGGGTGAGATTCGGCCAGAACGTGTGGCGAGTTCTCTGACACAGTCATGTTTGCAGGCCAGGACTTGCATGTAGTGATCTGCCAAGAAAAGGGGGAGAAAACAGACTGAAGTGAGAAGGATGGTGGAGGTGCTGAGATGAGGACAGAGAGAGGTTAAATATCCCTGGCTGAAGGACGTGCAACTTGCACTGCTCTGGTCCAGCAGGTGACTGCACACCTAAAGAGCTCAGGCTCTTTTCCAAAGCCAACGGAGAGTTGCAGTCACACTTTTGCCCCCTTTGAGAAATGTCTTTCTCCTTCTGTCAACTGTAGAGGGAGCTTGAGCATCTCTTTTGTGTTCCAGGAGCTGCTGCTTCATCCCAGGAAAGACGGATGGGTGCAAGGACGTGCAGGTGGCAGGTAGCTCTTCAACCCCAAAAGCCAAACCAAAGCTGAGGACACCCACAGAGCAAGCAGAGATAGGAGGACAGGGTGGACACACGTGCTGCCACATGAAAGCCATCCTCACTCTCCCTTACTTCAGCTCATCTTTAATTGTCTCCTTTCTGCAGCAAGAAAGTTCCTAAGCGCACAGGGGGGGTTAAATGAGAGGGGTTGGTTCAGCTTCTCAAGCGCGGCAAAGCAAGGCACCTGCAACGCAAGTCTGAAAGGTCTAAGGTGTAAATACTGTCAGCAAAATCCCCTTTTGCTGTTTCTCAAAGATGAGAGATCTCCCAGGGAAAAACAAACACGTGGTAAACATCTGCCATTACCAAAATTTCTTAATTGGTGGGAGTCCACAATATAGGCATTGTATCAGCTGTACAATTTCAAAGCCAATGCTGACATCTGATTCCAGTTTGGAGTCTTTGCTGCAATATACTTACAAATGGACTTTACTTGTTCTGTCTTCGTACACCATTAAAAACCTTAAGAAACAAACATGGGCTTAAAAAAAAAAGAAGTGTGCTCAGCTACTAAAGCATTCCTCAGAGCAGCCAAGAAAACAGCCTGAGGAATTTGCAATGAAACCAAGAGGCAATTCAGAACAGTCCCCATTTGCTCTGGGTGGGTAGTCTGAGTAAGTTACCTGATTTACCATACACATCCAGGGTATTACATTAGGAAAAGCAAGCAGGAAAAGGACATAAATAAAGTTGTTGTAATTTAAACCTATTTAAGCATCCTAGACCTGAAATAATCTATCACTGAGAAGCACTGCTTTTTCTTGGTACTGTCAAGGTGCCCTTGAAACTGCCTATATAGACAGGAATCAATTCACTGAAATGCAGCAGTCCCTATGGTGGAGAGGTGAACCCCACACAGCAGCACTGCAAATCAGCTTGGAATTGAAAAGACAAATTAGTTTTGAAGAAACTTACACTCTCTTTTCTTGTTGTATTAGTGTTCCTACTCCCTTCTGAAACATCTGGGTCTGACTGCCCTGGACCCAGGAGTTAACTCTCCTGGATTATGTTGTCCTGTAAAGAACCACTTAGTTGCATTATGTAATTAAGTGTGTGCCCTCACTTCCCTCCTTCTTTGGGTGCCTTAATGGCCGTGGGATTTGGAGTTGTTATTCCCAGGCATATTTGGCCAAACCAAGACACAGCACTTGCAGAGACCAACCGGCTTGTTCTCTATCCCAAGTAATGTGTTGGGTCGATGACCACCACACCATGCCCGTATCTGTGCTCCGGCACAGAAATATCTTCTCTGCTCACTGGAGCAGCAGACTTGTACAGCACAGAAGCAATTTAACAGAGACCTGTTTGATGAACAGCAGCTTTCAGTGAGAAGGAAGGTGGGTTTTCTTTGCCAATAAAGGCTGATCTCTTGGAAGGCTTGATATGGCACTTGGTGTCCTGGTTATGGCTTTAAAAGCAGGCACGACCAGCTGCCAGATACACTGGTACCAGGTCAACCCTTAGAACACTTCTGAGATTTTCTGCATGGGTAAGTAAACCCAACAAAGGCAGCTTCCCATCCGGTATGTTGGTGATTTCTCATCTTGATTGTTTCAATTAGATTTCCTGCTTTGACACAAGCAAAAATTAGGCAAAGCTGAAAAACAGTTTGCAAACAAATGAATTATTTTCCACACAAGAAGGAAAACTGCAGAGCTTGATGTAACTCCAAGGCCATGAGCAGATAGAGAAATAAGATTCCTGTCATCAAATTTTAATTTATTGCTCTTCTTTCCTTACGACTAATTAAATGTAATCTCATTTCTGCTGTGAATGAACTGTTTTAATCCCCTCTGGCTCAGAGCCACACATGCAAATCTGAAGATTACACAGCAATGTTCAATTCTCTCCAGAGAATTCAGTCATGATCATAATTAGGTGGGCCTCCGCTAATGACAAATCCATGCATTTGGATAGAGAGGAAATCTATGTTGTGAGTCTTTTTGGCAACTTTCCTGGCCATCTGGAGTATGACCAAGAAGATTCTGCTGCTCTCTTCATATGCATTGAAAAACAGCGAAAATAAAAACAGAGGCCAGCAATATCTAGATTTCAGTGAGGTATGTGAGACTGTGTACAGGGGAAATGGAGGCAGTTTATGTTAAAGCACCTATACTTCCAGCTCTTACGGAGAGCTGCAAGTGCTCCACACATCTGGAAATGCAATTTTTCTGGCCCAGCTCTTATTCAGGACCAAAATGAGATGTTCTAGTTCCCTGTCCTCTGGATTTGCATTTTCTGGCTTTCCAAGTGCCTCCTTCAGCATTACTTACCAGCAGCAGTAATGGAAGGGAAGACACTTCACCAAATCTAGCCAAAGGCCCAAACTCAAACATATTCCAGGGCCAAGGCTGAGAACACTAAAGATGCAAAAAGATCTCACCTGCAATAGCTTCGTAGAGGCCAGCCTTATATTCCAGGTACTCATGCTCCTCAAATCTCTGTGGTCCCTCACACATGATCTGGCAATCTTCATCCTCGGAGTAGTACCCTTTCAATGCACTCTCCAAGAAGTCAATGGCCAGCTCATACTCCTCCTTGTCATAGTGCTTTACCCCAGCACTGTAGTCTTCCTGCAAAGTAGGTAGGCAGAAGACAAGACCATGAGTGGGCTATGCTGCTTGGACCACAGCATCCTGCCCTTGCCAACTGCAGGTGCTTCTCAAAACAAGCAGGCAGAGACAGAATAATCTCCAAGTACTAGACACAAGCGGTTACACCAAACCATGTTTAAGCCATCAATGGACTTTTGGACCCGTGCGACCTTGTTAATCTGCCTAAATGCTCTTCTGAACTCCTACATACTTAGGGAAACCTCAGTGCCACCTCTGGATTATGCATTATTTGAAAAAAACATTTCTTTGTTTTTATCCTCCTACCCAGCAATCACACTGGATGCCAAAGGAAAAGACTGATCTTGACCCAGGCACATCTCTTAGAATAGCCCCTACAGAGCACCTCCATTAATTACACAAAAAGAGCCACTCCTGCTTCCTTGTGTCGTGAGAAATCACAAAGCTGGGGGCAGCCCTGGCATTTGTGCTGGGCTTTCACTTTGGGGAGGTGGAAATAGATGCCACTCTCCTGCCTGACACCCTGCACCCTCACCAGAAAAGCCACAAGCACATATCCTGCCCAGGTGGGAGAACCCAGCTCAAAAGATCCACAGCCATGGATGACCACAGAGTTCCCTGAAGGGAGGAACAGAACAGTGTGCCTTGAAAAAGAAGGAGCTGGCTTGACTTAAAGAGAGCTCTGAAAGGGAGAGTTTGTTTTCCTGTATTGTAATATGGACCTTGGTAAGAATCTCCCCATTCAAAGATGGTGCTCTCTTAATCTCCTACATCTCCTCTCTCCATGCTGCCTGACACTTAACCCAGGCACCTCTTTAGCTCAGACTCACCATGTGCTGCTTGGCCTCCCGGTCAATCAAGCTGACCTTCCCTGTGTTCTTGTAGTTTTCAATGTCCTGCTGTACCTCCATGTGCTCAGGGTTTGCCATGAAGAAGGTGTGAGCTGCATTTGCTGCCTCCTCGAGCTTGTTCAGCTGTAACAAGATAAGAAAGATCAAGTGAATCTGTGATGTAGGATAGTGAACACAGCAGTTTATGCCACACCTTCTGACACCTTTATCTCTGACACCCTTTTGACACCACTGGTCTGGGCAGTAATGGGATAGTCAATGAAAACCTGTATACAGAAGCTGCATCAAGTTACTTTGGATTTAGAGGTTCAGAACTGAGACAGAATCAGTTTCACCCTGGAGAGATCTTCACAAACAGACAAAAATGCTAGTGCTAAACACACCCACAGCAGCTGCTGGACAGGAGCAGGACAGATGTTCAGGTGAAACATCTGCATGACTTATCAGGAGAGAGAGGAGCCGCTTCCATGGTTAATGCACTTGTTCCTGAAAGGAAGCTACCATCACTGACTATCAGCAAGATGCAGTCAGGCCACTGGGATCGGTCTGCAGTCTGAGCAGGCTCACCCAAGCTTGTTAGCCAGAATCAGGCTAATGCCAGCCTTGGCAAGGCTATGTCCAAGTACTCCTTGATAGCAAAATTCAGCCTCAACCCTGTGCCACTACTTCTAGGCTCCTGAGGCACGACAGCCAGTGAGCTTAGGCATACTTATGCTATGCTGCTGTCATAGTACAGCAGCTCACATGCAGAAATCTGCACGTGTACCCATAAGACAACCCAAATGGCAAAATGATGAGAACTGAAAAACCAGCCAGGCATATAGTAACTAGTTTAATCTCTGACCTATGTTTATCCTTAGAGATGTGATTGAACTGTCAATCATCTGAGCAGCCACCTCCTCAGCAGGTGGCTTGTTACCTCAGCAGAAGTGTTTGCAACCCTTTTAAAAATTAAAATACACATCCAATTACACATTAATGCCCATTGAACCAAGTGGGATTGGCATCTGGGTGAAATCACAGGGCCTTCTCCTTGAGAGATGCCCTGACATATATATCCTATGCAATGTTGCATGAGCGGCTTATGAAAGTGATGAAGTGCTAAGGGAAAAAATGCAAAGGATTTGCTCAGGGCACTTGGCTGCAGTAACAGCATAGCAAAACCTCCTTTTTTATGCTGAACATTGCTCTGAGCAGGAACGGCTGGAGTGGGGCAAGAGTAACAGGTTTGATTTGGCTGGACAAAGGAGAGTCCCCCTGAAAGCCCCAGGCCAACACCAAATCACTCGGCAAATCTGCTCCTATTTGGAAAGCGGAGCTGTCTGCCAGCACTAATAAAATACCCAAGTTGTTTAAGTGGCAGAATGATGCCTCCTTTCCTACTGCACATAAAGCTTGGCAAGACTTCGGAAAAAACAGGTGAAGACATGCATTATTTTTGCAAGGTAACCTTCTCTTAGGGCAGCATGGAGGATGTGTGTGTGTTTTGGCTTGTGAAGGAAGGAGCCGATGCCTTTTGAATCTCCACTCTCAAACAAAATTTCCAAGGCACATATTAAAAAATTATTGTAATGGGTTTCCTTTGACTTTTCCTCAAAACAAGGTGGAATTAGAAATGCAGCAAGCTGCTGAAAACAACTTTTTTCCATTAAAAAAAAAATAAAAATTGATATCAGTGATTGGGAGCCCAACTTAAAGTTGAGGGAAGCTTGAAAGATGCAGAGCACATCGGGACATGTATTTAGCCTCCTGGGACTCAGTGTATCCCCCAGAGAAGTGCCCAGTGCTTTCATCTGGGCTGTTTAGATTAGGACGAGTGCAAACACAGTTTGCAGAACAAACAAGGGGGATACCATGAGTCAAAATGGTGGTGACTGGAGACATCACGGCTGTTCGAAATCCCTGGCTGAGCTTGACAGGATGCCTGTGTGATTCTGATTAGGGAGACACTGAATGGGTCTAGACACACAACTATTACCAGGGGAGTTGTGAAACTGGCACTTTTATATCAGATGAGCCATTCTGGACGTGATTTCACATTGCTTGCTGGGGCATGGAGACATTTTGAAAGCAGGTGCCTGGATACACGAAGACCTGCTGGAGGAAAAGCCCAGCCATTGCTGCAGGGCCAGATCCACTCCAGCAGAGCCAAAATCGCTTGTGTGGTTCCCTAAAAGGCAAGGTCAAAGCTGGCCAAAGAAGCACACATGAATACCCCCAAAAGGAAGATGAAAGCTCTGGTCAGAGAGCATCTCAGCCCACTCCCCAGATCTGCCCTTTGAAACCAAAGCACCTCTGTGCTGCAATGCCCACAGAAATGCAAAAAATTTGCCTTGTGTAAACTTCAGAAGTTTTTCAGGATTAGCTCTGCGCTGACAACACATGCAGGGAAGCCAGCTTTTACTGCAAAAACAACATCGGTTCCAGTCCTTCTCTTGGAGTTTTCCTAGGAACACCACTCTTCAGAATAACCTCCTGGCTTCCCAGGCAAGCAAAATGACTGTAAGTAATTTTTGTTTTCAGCTCAACACAAAAAAACCTCAAACCTCTTCAATGTGGATTTTTATTTTTTTTAAGAGATGTTCCTATTCAGAAACATGCATCCCGTCTTGAAAAAGCTCGTCTCAAAGTAATCCCATCCCAAAAAAGGTCATCACAGCTGGATAGCATCTGATATAGGATAAAGGATGGACCAGAGCATCTCATGATGGGAATTTTCAGGTCATGCTGAGTGTAGGTGGGACTGGCACTGCAGCCAGTAATTAGAAAGGTTGAGATGGGGCAACAAGTTTGCTGGAGACACATGAGCTGCTGACCTAATCCAGAGGACTTCTATTAAGCCACTATTTGAGCTGCTCAGGAGAAGTGCATTCTTCCATGCCACATCACAGATGTCTATTCACAGGCAGTATCCTGTCTGTGCAGACTTAAAAGGTACCAAATACATCTCAGCAAGCAACTGGTCCCTGAAGACACAGCTGCAATTGCCTGTTGTGGGATGTTCTATTTTCCTTTGGTTCTAGCTCTTTTTCAGAAAGCTGACAAAAATTCTCACAGATCCTAGGATGGGCTTAGTTCTTCTTGGATAACATCCACTTCTGTGAGATAGGAAGAGTCTGATTTCTAGATACAATAGAAAATGTCTTTCCCACCCTTCAAAAAAGGCTCATGCTGTGTATAGTCCTCCTGACTCTTCATAGCAAAGATGACCTTTGAGGGTTGCTAAGTGGACTCAAAGCAGAACATTTCACCTCAACACTTTTCAATGTGTCATGTCCCATATTTGTCTCAAAAATATTCAAGTAACAGAAAGAAGCCAACAGCTGCCAAATTTGGGGGAGATTTTCAGTGGATGTGTGTATACAAAAGCGAATTCCTAACTGGTAAGACACATTCAGAGTCAAGCACTGACATTAATTATGAAACATTCTGGGGAAACTTTAGCCAAAACACTTTGAATTCACAAGGAGCAGGATATTTTGGTTTTTAAAGGTCTGGGCTGGGACTCAGGACACCTGGACTCAGTTCCTGGCCCTGTCACAATCTTACTGTGCAGTCATTGGAAAAAAACATTTTGTTTTCTTTGTGCCTGATTTTCCATTGTTTTAAATGAGTAACAATAAAAATAATAGCATTTTTTCCTACAGGGCAATCATTTTGTTTATTTAGATGGCAAGCAACTCAGGGACCGTAAGCATATGCAAGCATGTAACACAAGGGGATTTTGATGGTTGTGCGACCACTGCTGAATGAAAATCTGCAAGGAGAAAACGACAACTGTAGAATCACAACCTTAGTATGTGCTCTAAGGTCTGCTTGTTCACCCCACTGAAATGATATTGCTGGGCTATAGCTGCAGCTTTGCACTAAACCCCGTGTAATTTGCCCAGAGATGACACACAAAATCAACACCAGCACTGAGAGAACCCCAGGAACTCTGTCTCCATTTTGATCTTACCATGACAATGGCTAGACAAGAAGGGGAAAGCACAACACACCAGTGTTCACCCTAATTCTGGGTTTTCATGCTGAATTTTTTTTCCTTGTTCAAATGTTAGGATTATTTCATTTCACAGAAAAAGAGGACAATTATTTTAAGCAGCAAAACCTCAAATTAAGGAATTTCAGCAAACTGCAAATGCTCGGTTTCATTCACATTTGGGACAGCGCTGGCCTGGACTTCAATGTGGCTGCAACTTCCAGCTTCCAGTAGTGGCTTGGATTAGGAAGGCTGTTTTAACTGGAACATTAGACAAAACCATAGGCTGGGGAAAGGACCTTGAATGGACATTTTGAACATCGCCATACAATTGACTCCAAGTCTCACTGATAACCATTGAGAAAATGGAGCTTTCATGGGCTGTATGATGGAACATGAGTTAACAGTTCCTTAATAGCTTATTGTCGTTCTGGTAACTGTGGATCTATCTGTCAGCCAGTAAACTCCATGCTGAGCAATCTGATTTGTACCTGTAATGCCACTGTCACAAACCTGCCATGCTTAGGAAATAAACTGTCTCACTGGAACATGTCTAACCTTCTGTTTAATTTTATCATAACCTCAGCAGCTGCATCCCTCAAAGAGAGACATAGAGCATATATCTCATCACTAATGCTCACATGAAAACAGCTCAGACTGGCTCATCATCACGTGCAGGAATGTGCTCCGAATTCACACTTGCCCCATCTATGTGCAGATGAATGAATTGCGACTAAAGCCCACCATACCACGTGCTCAGAAAGGTTGCATAAACCCTATGCCACACACCACCACTGTGGTTTTAGTTATAATGACCCTAAACCTGCAGCCCTTGAAGTTTGTTCTCTGATGCTTGGCAGTGGGGATAATGAAGTGGAACGGGCACTGTACCAGGTCTATGAAATGAACATTAGACAGCCTTACAGTCTGCTTGTGCAACCACCACCACATCACTTGCACACTGACATAGTGCCATTTATGGGCAGAAGAAGCTGTAGCCAAAATACCTACAGTTACTGAGGTGCTCCCAATTTACCTTGAAGTTTTCTTGGCAAGAACAAGGATAAAAGACTTTTTTCTGGGAGGGAAAGAGAAGAAAGGCTTACACACTGAGAAATGCATCAGATCCCTCAAAACCCCAGCA